TGATCTAAAAGAATACACCAATAACAGCGAGCGCTCACTCAACTGTTGAGTCCGCTGAATGAGCCCAATGCAACGCGGTAACCAATAAACATGTTGGGAGCTGTAAGCTTATTGGTTACCGCGTATTTTGCCGCGCGGTAAGCGTTTCCGCGTCCAGTGTGCAGAAGCCATTATTGGTTCATTACACCTCAAGGCTGAACTTGAGATGATCTTGAATATAAGAACTGATTATGAATACCGGCCTAAGGCCGGAATCAGACTATGCATTGAAGATTGAGATTGAAGATTAAAAAATTCAAATTTGACCAATCGAAATGAAAGGAGCTAAAATTTCTTCGTCCTTATTGGTCAAATTTCAATCTTCAATCTTCAACTTCAATCTTTAATGCGTAGTCTGATTCCGGCCTAAGACCGGACTATGGATTCCGGCCATTGGCTACGTTTACACCGTGCACTTAGTCCGCGACCTATACGATAGGTGTTTTTGTTTAACTTACAAGATAAACAAGGACACCTATTGTATAGGCCGCGGTCTAAATGCACGGTGTAAACGTAGCCATAGGCCCGGTCTCACCAACTCAGATTAAAACTTGCGGCACACGATGCTTGTTTTCCTGCTGGATTCCTAGCTAGATTAAAATCTTGCCATTGTATTAGCTACGGTACTGACAGTGACTGCATCGTAGCCAATACGGTTGCAAGAATTTATTCTGGTTAGCAAATCGGCTAAAGCCGGCTTAAGCTAATCGGTCAATTAAATTTCAGTATTCCCAATTGCAAGACTGAAAACATAACCTAATTTTCTGGTAATTGTGAAGAACGTAGTAATAACAGCACAGGTCCATATTAATGGCAAATTTCTCTCAAATGCGAAAAAGTCATGCGAGTCGAGCACGTTAAAGTCACTAGATAACAAAGTACCGCGATGGGAAAATTGAAGTGACGTATCTTTGGAGCCAAAATGGTGTCGAGTACAGATATTGCATTTAATGCAGTGTAATATATCTATGTATCAAGTGCAATCCAAAGTGCAATCCTAACCTGGTTGCATTCATACATAAGTTTGAAATAACCGCGTTATGGAGCCAAAATGGCGGCAATTCGAGGTACTTCGTTAATCTAGTGACTTTAGAGCACGTGAGTACTCGGCGCCTCGCCATTAAAAAGATGTTTTCAAGTCTTGCAGTTGGCAATATTTAATCGGAGTTGGTGAGACCGGGCCTTAAATTTTAAATCATAAGACATTAACCAATCACAGTCGACTATGAGAAAAATAATCGACTGTGATTGGTCAATTTCTTAAGCTTAAAACAGCTTTTAGGGTGCCGTCACATGCGGCGTAACCTGCGTAAGCGTAACCTGCGTATTCTAGTAATTTACTAGAATACGTTATTTTTTATTTACTAGAATACGCCATTCTAAAAGCCGGCATTCACATTGGGCGTATTTCGCGGAAGATTAGAGAAATGCGGAACTAATGCAACCAATTGCTGATTAAAATTTCTGTTGTACACTCTAACAGAAATGCTAAATGAATTTACAATTGGTTTTCGTAACTCGAAAAGTACGCCTCATGAGGAACCGGTACTTTCTATCGCGTACATACATCTATACGCGTTTGTATAAATTTAGAAGAAGAAAGTCTGATTTATAATGGCCGTAACCGTTAACTTATTTCAATGCTTTCGTTCATACTAATTTACCGTATTAGTATGAACGAAAGCATTGAAATCTATGATTGAACTTCACCGGCACCGGCATAATGATTCCTGCACACTGGACGCGGAAACACTTGCCGCGCGG